AAAGAAAATAACATGTGCTTTTTGCAAGATACACAACGGTGAATATACTGAATAAAAGGTTTAAATGAAAACAGAAAAGAAAGAGCAAGAAAAAATATAGAAGACAAATAAAAAACACTCAATTCCTAAAGTGACAACGTCTTTTGTGACAGAAGGTAAGTAAAGCTTTTACCTATGTACCTCTGCATACTACCATATGGTTCAGTCTCGTAATTTTTATTGTGTCCTTTCGTCTGACAATATGCTGGTGATTACAGAAGCTGAGATATCCCGATTATTACAAACCTCGTAACTATCGGATGATTTATTTATTTAATTATGCAACTGTTTATTTTATATTTTTCTTAATTATATTCTAATGAGGCGATGGAGTATTTTTTTTTTTGTTGTTAACAAAAAAATGACTCAAAAATTAACAGTTGATATTATTTTTTTAAATTTTATTTGCTTTGTTTGGTACGCGTTGTCGGCAAGTCTCAGCCAGAGACTTCTACAGTCAACATGTTTTTTTTTTCTTCTTCGAAAATGCAAACGGATGAGGTGTGTGTCATGCAATCAGAAAAAAAAAAGTATTTGTGATGAATGTATAGAGAGAACTGTACGCAAAGTGTGAGGAATAATGAGAAATATGATTATTTTTTTTCAATTCATTCGTTTTATAAAGCTGTAAGGAATTTGTTCCACATAGTCCTTTGCTGCTTTTGATATAATTTGCAGAGACCCATTAACAACAGGTAATGTCTGATCTTGACATTCTACATCTTACTGAACTTATTATTATTATTATTATTATTATTATTATTATTATTTTTATTATTATTATGTGGCATCATCTTGCCAGAGAGTATTTAAGTGTCTAATTACCAAGTCCCCTTCAGGGTCTATGAGTAAAAAAGGCGTAGGAGAAATATATATGCACATTTGGGACACACACACACACATACATATATATATATATATATATATATATATATATATATATATATATATATATATATATATATATATATATATATATGATATGTGCATTTCCGCACAAAAGTAATCTTTTTGCGGGTCTGACTTGCTGATGTGCCGAGGAATTTTTGCTCCAAACATTTTCGAAGCCCTTTCGTTTATCATAACCAATTCCACTGACAGAAAATTGAAAATCATTGTTTACTACTACTATTATTATTTTTTTAATCAGCATCATTGTCTATCCGCAATTTATTATCTATCTATCTATCTATCTATCTATCTATCTATCTATCTATCTATCTATCTATCTATCTATCTATCTATCTATCTAATACATAGCATTTCTTTAATCATGAAACCCTGGTTACTTTTGGCGAAGTGTAAATAAGGCCGAAACTCAAAGAAAACTAAAAGCCTTTCCAGAAAGACGCAATAATGCATGCTGCGCATAGAGCGCAGGGTAATTATGGTCCCCAAAGTACCAATAAATTGATAAAAACAGCTAGTTTCATAGACCGACCCCCACCCCAAATACCGTAACTAACGTTAGCATACATGCGTATGAGTGAGAGTGAGAGTAAGAGTGATAGTAGAGAGAAACAACATTTCTCTATACAAATAAATACAAAAAATCTCTTTCTCTCTCTCTTTCTCTCTCTCTCTCTCTCTCTCTATCTATCTATCTATCTATCTATCTATATATATATATATGTATGTATGTATGTATATAAAAGAATACTAAAATATTCTCATCCTGACCAATGACATAGAGTAATGCTTCCCAAAACCTAACTATTGCCCCCTTGACTACTAGGCCACATCTCTAATGTTATCGTCCCACACTCATACGAAAACACTTCTTTCGTGGTAGAAGGTATACCGCAAATTCAGAACATGACCGTATGAACATCCTGGCTATATCACGACACCTACAAGAGCATTGTCCCCTGTAGATATATGGCCCCAACTGGCCAGATGACATCAGTAAGATACCGACAAACGTTCGGCCTTTTAACTTCAGACAAAAAAAAAACAAAAAAACACTAAATAAAATATTATGCGTTCGTGTATAACTGTTAGTATTAATTTTATTTCTTGTATGAGCAGAAGTGTCTCTTCAGTGTAAATAATTTAGATTTTTTTTTTTTTGGAGAGCTTTTATAAAAAAAAAAAATTGGAAAATAATATTACTTAATTCTATTACCACGCAGCCGCTACCCTAGTACATTTTTTTTCTTAATCGACCCCTAACGCTCTCTTTCTCGCTACCCACTTAATTTTTCGACTTTTCCCAAGGGGGTGGTATCGCCCACTTCAGGAATCCTAGACATAGAGCAACGAATCGTTTATATGTTGTTTCACATGTTCACCCTGTAGTCCAACCCATTTGGCACATCGTATCTCAAGTTACATTAGCACTAAAAAAAAACAAAAACAAAAAAAAAAAATAAATGCATATAAAAAAAAAATGCAAATAGTGAAAAAAGATAAATAAATAAAAAATAAAAATAATGAAATATTTGTTTTGACATTAAAATATCAGTTTCCTACTTTTAAAATCTCTGAATCACTCGACAGTTCCCTCCTTTTCGACCCCCTTTTAAGGTTTAAAAACAGGAAATATATGCAGCGACATCTGGTGAGTAGGGTGAATGGCCTACGTGATCATAGTGCATAGATCATTCACCCTACTTCCAAATATCCATCGTCTTCCCAACCATGAGAGCATGTAGATTGTCCTGCAAAAAGAAGAACACCCATTTCCGTGGTTTTTTTATCGTTGTTTTCTTTCAATGCCTCCGTTAATCAGGCACCTTAGATTAGTATTTTGCCATAACTTTTTGCTCCTACTGAAGACAGTCAAACACCAAAAAAAAAAAAAAAAAAAAAAAAACTTGAAGGAAAATCATGGTTATCACCTTTCTTGTTGACCTTTGAGACTAAAATTTCTTCCATGATGGTTGAACAAAAATGCCACCACTACAAAGACTGTTGTTTTCATGTCGGGATCATAGTGAACTTTATCAACACTGACAAGTCGTTCCCGAAAAAAAAAAAAAAAAATCCCCAGATGGCGGAAAATGCTGAACATGTAGAGATTATATTTTTACTCTATACCGTTTCTGATTAACATACAAAAATATTGACATCTACTTTACTAACAGGTTTTGTATACCCAACAGCTCTTGAATTCAAAACTCAAATGTTTCGTGGATATCAATCAAATGTGTAATCCAACAACAACCAAACCAATTATTTGCTTATCCTAACATAGGACGTAACAGGGGAAATAGTATTTAGGATGTAAAGTCACTAAGACACAAGGGTTAATGGCTGCGTAAATATTAGAAAACAGAAACATTACTAAGGAGTGAAAGCAAAAGTAGAGTTATCAGGAGGAGAGTAGATAGCGATTGATATTGCATTTAAATTTTTGAAGATCAAATTTGGCTGGAAAGCATGGAACCGGAAGAGAGTTCCACAATCGAGAAGTGCGAGAAAAGAAACTGTTAGCATAGAACTTACGGTTACATCTAGCCAACTCGACCGTCTAGAATTGCGCTTGAATTCATAAAATCAGATTCCTAACCCCCTTCAGTGAATAATGTTCAAGATTTTGTAAGGATCGGGAAAACATCCGCTTTGGAATCGGCTTGACAGTGTGGTTCACGAAAAGAAGCTACTCATGTGGAGCTCACTTCTCACCAATGGAATCAAACTTGTATAAATAATATAATATCAGATGTATGTATATTTAGGCAGTATATTTTCATTTAAACATGTTTTGTTGAATAATATAGACATATGTCTACTTATTTTTATATTGATCCTTTCAAGTTGTCTAATTAGTTTCTTAATATTGTTATCAAATCCATCAAGGAAGGCGCCGTATTTTTTTTTTTAACTCAAGTACTATCGATCTTTTCTAAAATAATCTCCAGGGGTAAATTTCAAAGACAAACACACGCTATTGTAACTGTGATAAACTGAAAGACACATGTAAACAAAATGTGCGTTCTGTTGTCTGTGTTTATTTTTAGACACGCGTTTTTTTTTAAACGCGCACTTATATATGTATATATATATATATTGCATTCTGTTATTTCATGGAATCGGTCTAGGCATCTCGAAATAGTCGACAGTTGTCAAAATAGCCGCTGTCCCTTGGTATCGTAAGGGAGATAACTCTAGAACAGTGTTTCTCAACCTTTTCAAGCAACGGCACACCTAGGAGTAAATTGAAATGCCACGGCAAAATTTTTAGTGAATATACATTTAAATATTATGAAATAAAACCTTATATTTCAAAAATTCATAGACATTTATGAATTTACTTTATTTCAATGTTTCTATTCAATTATTTGTGCAGCTTATTTAGTGAAAACTGAGCCTAGTGCTTTTTCCCAATTTCTAAAATCTTTGGTCGAATGTGCGATAAACAGACTCCTATTTCTTCTTCTTCAGTTGAGCGTAGTCTTTCTGACTTTAAAAAAAAATGTTTTTAGGGTCGAGAAATCTATTTCACATAAATCAGAAGTAGCAAATACAATAAAACTGATAACGCTTTTTTTAGCTAATGTGGGATAATAAGTTTAATACTTATTCATTTATTCAGATACTAACTCTATATTGTGACTACTTCCACACGCACACAGATATATATGTATGTCATAACAATATTTCGCGGCACACTAAAGAGTATCGCGCGGCACATTAGTGTGCCGCGGCACCCCGACCGAGAATCACTGATCTAGTGCATTAAATACTACAAACAAGCAAAAACAACTTACAAACGCACATATCGTATTACGCAGATAATTGTTAAAGATGTACGGATTGTTGTCCATCCAGTTTGAGAGATAGACGGGATTTTAAGTATTGTCCTTTTTACAAAACATGTTAAGCGATATACGTGCATATGTAGAAAGCAACAGTGTCACGACCTTTTTTTTCTTCTCTTCCACTAACTTTACTTCGCCTACCCTAACCACATCTGTGCATAATCATACAACGACAGTTGCGCACTCAGATTAAAGCCCCGATCACATCACGGTGAACCATTGGTTCCCATACGATTACCGCAGTTAAGCAACGTCGAGCCTGGTCTGTATCTAGACGGGTGAGCGCTTGGGAAATTCCAGGTGATGAAATCTTGGATATGCGCTTGGTGTAATGGATATTGACTCGGAATTATTAATCGGAGTGCCGAGTTCCAATTCCAGTTGGTTTTGTTATATTCACTTACTCGCAAATGGGAAATGGGATGAATCCACCTCTTCACCCCCCCCAGCTACGAGTTAATTGCTAAGAATTGTATCAGTGAAACCATTAATACCTAATATATATATATATATATATATATATATATATATATATATATTTACAATTAAAAAAAATGTTTTCTTGCTAAATAACCTGCAAAGGGTTGATAAACCGTAAAACACGAAGCAACCAATCAATAAACATTCATGTTAGCGAAGTTTTGTGACATCCATGAAGTGACCTTCCATTTCTCTTTCTTTGTTTATGTCAGTTGACTACAGTTTTGGTTTTGTCATTGTTTAATTATAATTAGTCATAGTTTATATTTTTTATTAACACGGTAAACTTTTCACTAAGCAGTTATTTCGTAAAAAAATATTTAATGGTTAATTAAATTGAAAATTTAATTAAACATTTTTATGATTAAAAACTATTCTTTTCAAAATATTACCCTTTTTGTCGAGCAAGTTCCATATAAACAAATCCTGCTATTAAATATCTCTCTTCATCCATATTATGAATTAATTAGAAATTGTTTGTTTTTAACTCATTCCATGTTTTTGAGAATAGTGAAATAATGCGAGTAGAGGACAAACCGTCAACAGTAAGAAGTGTTTTAAGAGAGGATGAAAAAGGTGACACCGAAATCCGAAGTAGCATTGCATTAGCGAAAGAGGTATTTGAGAAGCTAAAGAAAGTATTAAGAAACATAAAAATTTCATTATAAAGTAAGAATAGAGTGCTGAACTGCTATGTGATTCCAATCCTCTTGTATGGCAGTGAATCATGGACGATCTTGTTCTCTCAGATGAAAAGAAAATTGTCAGTAAGAGAAATGTGGCCATCCAGAAGAACACCGTGAATACTATGAACAGATCGTATGATCAAAGAAAAGAAGTCTTAAGGAAAGGAAGCTTGGAGAATTTGACATTCGCAAGGCATTTCGAAGGCAAGGGTGATAGTGGAAGGCAGCGTTCCACCTTCTTGACGAGTTTGTGTGAATCGATGGCAGAACGTAGGCGGGACGTTTTGCAAAGGGACAGACGTTGGTAAGGGTTACAAGGATAAGATGTAGTCGAGAGCCATAATCGCCCACGTTCTGAAAGGACATGTCACGTGCAGTAACATAACCTTTTCGCAGGTTTATGACATTACAAATAATATTTTAAAAATCTGAATTTCAAAACGCTACCCATTTTTTTTTTTTTTTTTTTTTGGCGGACGGGTTATGCAAACACAGTTGCACAGTTTAACTTTCTTTAGTGCCTAGACGGGTCTTCCGAAAGGGGCCGTAATTCAACCTCTCTCAAACTGGCTGCAATTAACTGGAGGAACACTTGCCATCTCGGTGGTATTAAACATCTACGTACGTGCCACTGTTGAAATATCTTTTAACAAACGCTAAAGGCATGCAAGATATGTAAGTCAAACTACACCATGTTCCGAGTGGTTAGGTCTGTGTCACAGATGAATTCAGCCTGAAAGATGTAGCTAGCCAGATCTGCGTGCCATAAAGAGATTAAGAAATTGAGCATAGAATAGGCTGCGCTAGATGTAGTTTCTCCCAATACCTACACAACCAAAATATCAACCTAAAAACTAATATTCTTAAACAGATTCGTCAGATCAAGACTTTCATGGTGCCAAACTCGTTCAGAAATATCTGTCAGCTGTCTATAACTACTTTCTCAGATCAATGATTAAAAACGGCTTCGAACGAATGAAGCATGTAAGTCTTAGTGAAGACAATTCATGTTCGAATGTCATGGACTGGCGCTACCGAATCACATACAAGGATAATACTAAATGACTTTAACCATATCACTTGAGAACTACCAACAGCAGCAACAGCTTAAATGGATAGCACTCGTAACTCGAAGAGAAAATAATGATATAACCAAGATGTTGGCGTCTCACACTACTTCAACGCAAAGGTCAGGAAGGATGTCCCCCCCATCAATATCAGAAAGAGCGATTATATTTAGTGGACATGGGAAACATATTTTCCTGAAGAAATATTTTAATAGAAAGATTTTATAAATCTCAACCAACAGCAGCATTGGTTGTTTGGCCACTGAATACCAGATGTTTATTTATAAGGAAACTGCTATTATTACGATTACAATTAACATGTCCAGACGAAAACGAGCCTCATTTGCCTCATTTGCATGAAGACGAAACTTGTTCTCACCACTAAACGACGTTCCAGATAACTATCTGGCGGCAATAGTAATTGTCAAATGTCTCTAATGATGCCAAAGGAGCACGTGTGTATATATGGAACATTCTTCTTCTATGTGCTGCGTCCCTTCGGAGCATAGGCGATCATGGCTCTCCATAACTTCTTATGCTTCTCTAAGGTTCCCGAGTCCTGGTTCCGCTACCAGTCTATTCACGCTCGTCAGCTAAGTGACTCGATGCCTTCTCCTATCTCTCTTGTCATCAATACGTGAAAGTTAAATTTTCCAAGCTTTCCTATTGCATTTAGTATCCAAAGAAGGAAATTCAGCTGACTTTACTAGAATTTAAGTATATGTTTTCTTTCTAGTGCCATTTAAGATATCCATGTTACTGAGTAGTTTTGTTCATGTAAGTGCTTATACTGGACTATTTTACCACACTAGACCAAATTGTAGCATGCGTCACCATCTGAGCAGAAACATAGATGGTGCACTGGTGTGATTGTTACTATATTACAAAATGATCGAAGACTTAACAGGTAATTTTTAGCATGCACAAATTATACAGAGGCACCGTCTTTCAGGATGTTGCATTTTTCTGTCAATATATATATATATATATATATATATATATATATATATATATATATATATATATATATCGGGTTTGATGGGTAAATTTTATATTTTTCATTTCGCTTATGCGTGTTGTTTTGATTTTGTCGACTGCACAGTATAGTAGGGCTAGTTGGCCACCGTCTGTGAGAAAAAGACCACCATGACAGAATTAACTATGCCAGAAATTTGGAAACGTTATCTGGTACTGCTTGGCATTCGCACCGGAAGCTCAAATACGAACTGAGTGTTTGTGTGTCAATCTGAGGACAAGGCAAATGATTCAGAAAGAGGTGGATGAGTTTAATGCTAATTACGAAGGTACGGCAGCTCGGAAAACTCACACTGATCGTTCTGATTAAAAAAGAACTCCCGAATTTGCTGGTGAAGGCCACAGAATCAACAGGGAGATATACATCAAGAGCTTTGAGGAGGTAGTGCTGTCCTGGGTCAAGAGGGTAGCTGCTGGAAGACCCTATGTCTGGCAACAGGACTCTGCACTATGCCACACCAACAGGAGAATTCACTCATGGCTGTCAAACAATTACTGCGACCACATCACCCCTTATATCTGGCACCGTAAATTCCCAGACTGAAACCTCCTTGATTATTATGTGTGGGGCGCAGTTGAGTGAGAGAACAGCAAAACTCATTGTAATAACAATGATGAACTGAAGGCAAGGGTTATGGCAACATTCACCAACTTAAACTAGGAGACCGTCCAGAAGAGTTGCAGGAGATTCCGAAAACATCTGGAGGCCGTGGTTAAAGCTAATGCCGATATTATTGAATAACGTTTGAATTTAGTATTTCAAGATATTTTGTGTAATTGGGGGAAATATATCTGTTAAAATGAGATGTCAGTGTTATTTTCATTTTTGCACAATTTAGACGACAATTAATCGCTCGCATCCTATATATATATATATATATATATATATATATATATATATATATATATATATATAAATAAATAACTCCTATTTCATGTATTTCTGACCAACGAGGAGTACTGCCTTCACACCCTGTGGCCTTTTTTTTTTTTTTTTGAGGTTGGTTGGATGGTTAAAAGACAAAGTCTACTGTATCAAACCAAGACTTTGGAATAACTTGAACGGCGAACACGTTTTCCATATCACAAGAGTTCTTGGAGAAGTCCGTTGACGTTATCGAAATCTGGTGCCCATATCAAATTTTAAATAAAACCTCATGGTAAACGCCTTTCTCCCATATCCATTTCTTGTAAAAATTATAGCTAGTAAATTATAAGTATTTTAATATGGGGAGTTACTTTTCAATCACTCTGTATATCTATGAGAGGTGGTGCTTAAATGAATTTAGAATTTTAATTATGCCCTTGAAGC